CAGATCCATGGAGATGAGCCCAAGTCTGTGGAGATTTGCAGAGCGGCTCCGATCATCGGATTCTAAAGACGAAACACAGAAGCTGTAGCTGAGATTTGGAGTGGTGGCTGCACATTTCTTGCATGTTTCTTGAACCATGTTGTGAGGGGTTGAACCATGGGAGGAGGAGGAGACAAGAATTACAAAGAGAGGAGAGAGAAAGAAGAGAGAGAAAGTGGAAATCATNTTTTTTTTTTTTTTTTTTTTTTTTTTTGGTGGGGGGTTTAATTTAGTTTGAAAGAGGGAATTATTTGTTTATTTTTTTTAAGCTCATGAGGTTTTATTTATAATTTGGGTGAGAGGGGAGGGGTCCATGCTTGGATAGTTTCTAAGGCTAGATTTAGTGAAAAATATATATATTTTTAATCTAATTTTTCAAGTAAATAAACGAAAATAACCCCATAAAATTAAATTAAGTTTTGAAAACTAAAAAAATATTTTTTATTTTTAAAAATGGAATAAAAATTTAAAATTTTTGTAAGAAAAATGGTTTTAAAAGAGTAAAATAAAATTTGTTATTTTTTTTTTTTTTTTGGAAAAAGGAAAATATACAATTAATTAATGTGTTTATATAAGAAAAAGAAAATGGGAATAATGGAGATAAAAAATTAGATTTAATTTTGCTAAATTTTATTGCAAAGCTACGTCGTCTTAACTTAGAAGTAATAGAAAGTCCACAAAAGTCAAAGAGGTCAGGACCCATGCCAAAGCCGAAGCCGACGCATTCGGGTTTTACTTGCTTCTACTCTTAGTTATTTATTCCAACACCGTGTGAAAATAGTTTAAATTAATAAAAATATTTATATTTTATATTTTATCTATAAGAAAAAAACCTTTAAATTTTGGATGAAAATGGCTAGAATTAAAAAAAAAACAAAAAAACAAAAAAATCTTATCATTATATATAAACAAAAATAGTCTATTTATTCTCTAAACTTTAAAAAATTTAAGTATTAATTTTACTTTTAAAAATATACATTAGTAAAAATATTTTTAAATTTTTAAGAGTTTGGATGATTTTTAAAATTAAAGGCATTAATGAAAATTTTAAATTTTTATTAATTTCTCCTAAACTTTAATATTTAATAAATTAGTGTATCGAGATGACGTCAACAATAGGAGCGGGGGAAGGAGTTGGGCTTGGGCCAACCCCAAAAATTGGGCCCATGAGGCATTCAAAGATAAGCCCAAATACCAAAATGGATATGGATCCAATGGGTCCTAAGCTGCGTACTGCCTGCCCCTTCAATTATTGCTTATCTTTGATCTTCATGCCCACTTTTTACTCAGCTCCTTCCAATTTGTTTATAAATTTTATAAAAATAAAAGTAAAAAAAAAAAAAAAAAAAAAACCTTAAATTATGTCCTATCTCTAAAAGGTTTTTTAAAACGTTAAATTATTAATACCTTTAAACTTTTTTAAAAATAAAAATAAAAATATTTTTTCTGTAAATTTTTTTCCTTTTCTTACTCCTTTGTTATAAATTTTAATTTTTTTTTATTAGGATTAGGATTCATTTCGTGTTGATTGAGTTTATTAGAAGTATTTTTTTAGATTTAATATTAAAAAATTGAAATTAAGTTTTAAAATATTTGGGAGTTTTATTATGATTTTAAAATTAGAGAGAAAAAACAAGAAAAAGGAGGAAAAAGGTAAAAGGAAAAAAAATATAATAATAAACGAAAGAAAATTGGAAACCTCAGCGCTCAGACCCTTTATTTTCTCCCCTCCCCTCTCTTCCTCTCTTCAGTGTGTTTTCTTCTCCGGTACAGGTTCATCGTGCACGATCTCCGGCGACGTCGCACCTGAACCGCGAACTCAGCGGCTGTTTCCTTTTACGGCGACGGCGCACGAACGGCAGTAATTTTTTTTTTTTCCAGCGGCTGTTTTCCTTTTACGGCGACGGCGCACAAACTCTGTTCCTCCATTGCGAACGGCAGTATTTTTTTTTTTTTCCAGCGGCTGCGCATTCCTTCACCGGCGGCGAAAACATCCTCCCTCGCGGCGGCAATCACGTCCTCTGGAATATATATGAAAAATTAGTGTTGAGTTAATAGTATTCGGTGGAAGTTAAAAGGGCATGGCGACGACGGATGTGATTGGCGGCGAGGGTTCATCTTCATCTTCATCTTCTTCTTCATCTAAGTCGAGGAGAAAGGCGATTTGGTACTCACAGCCGCTGACTCCATTGATGGAAGGGCCTGCTCCCCAATTCCAAGATCAAGAACCCAACAAGAAAGACTCTGTTTCGAATTGGGAATTCTTCCGCGACTGGTTCAAGATCCAGCGCAACCTCCCTTCTCTCCCTTCTTCCACTTCCTTCACCAATAGTTCTAATAATGTTCCCAATTCCAAATACTCCATGGATTTGAAGCTTCTGCTCGGCGTCCTCGCCTGCCCACTCGCTCCCATTCCCCTTCACTCCGCCCCACACCCCCATTTCCCACGCGACGATGCCGATACCCCTCTTGTAAGTGTTCGAATCTCGTCTCCAACAATTTTGTTAAATTTACGAGGATTTATTTTTTGTTTTGATTCCAGGAAACGTCTGTGGCTCATTACATTATACAACAATACTTGGCTGCCACCGGATGTCTCAAACAGCAAAAGTGTGCCAAGAACATGTACGCCACCGGAAGCGTCAAGATGATTCGCTGCGAAACAGAGGTTTCTTCAGGCAAAACTGTCAAGACCGTCGGGACAAGAATTGAGGACAATGGCTGTTTTGTTCTTTGGCAAATGATGCCGGCGATGTGGTCCCTCGAATTGGTTGTCGGAGGCAGTAAGGTGGTTGCCGGCAGCGACGGCAAGACCGTCTGGCGTCACACTCCTTGGCTCGGCACCCATGCCGCCAAAGGCCCCCAACGACCTCTCCGCCGCATCGTTCAGGTAACGAATTACCCCATAACTTCATTTCCTAATCAACTAATTGAAACCCATTTCATATTTTGTTCATTTCTTCATTAATCTTCTCATCTCTGTACAGAACTTTTTATTTTTTCGAGGAATAAAAAAAAAACGGGTGGGGTTTGGGTATAGATATTCAAAAATGGTTTTACCAAACAAAGAACACAGAGTGTGGAACAAATGAACAATCCCAAGAAATAGCTGACAATCATACAGAAACTGTCCCCTGCTTTATCCCACCACTTGTGCTTTTTCGACGGTCGGGTTTTTGGGAATGGACGGCACGTGATTGATTCTACTGTGACGTCACTCCGCCGTCTTGGGATTTGCTCCGCCTCTCCATTCGTCTTTAGGGGGCCAAAGGGGTCCCCAAATGTCTCTGCTTTTTGCTTGCCTTTCATTCACTCCTCTTCCAATTCCCACGCCACTAAATTATAAAAGATACGGTTAAAAATTCAAACTTTTTGATTTCTTATTTGGTAGGGGCTGGACCCAAAGAGCACGGCGAGGCTGTTCGAGAAAGCACATTGCCTTGGGGAGAAGCGGATCGGGGACGACGATTGCTTCGTGCTGAAAGTGTCGGCGGAGCGGGAGGCTGTGATGGAGAGGAACGAGGGGCCTGCGGAAGTGATAAGGCATGTGCTTTACGGCTACTTTTGCCAGAAGAGCGGAGTGCTTGTATACTTGGAGGACTCTCACCTGACCAGAGTCCAGACGGAAGGCGACGCCGTGTACTGGGAAACCACAATCGGAAGCTGCATCGGAGACTACAGGGATGTGGATGGGGTCCTCATCGCTCATCGGGGCAGGTCCATTGCCACCGTCTTCAAGTTTGGGGAAATGTCGGCTCAATTCAGCAGAACCCGGATGGAAGAGGTTTGGAGCATTGACGATGTGATGTTCAATGTCGCTGGCCTTAGCATGGATTACTTCATTCCTCCCGCTGACACTTTTGATACTCTTCATCCTCATTCACACTCTCAGTGTCAGTCTCATTCTCCATGACCATCGCTCGCTTCCCTGCTAATCACTCATTTACTTCATTGTATACATCATCATAACAACTTGTCTGCAAAGTCTTAATCCCAGCAGCTCTTTTACACTGAACTAGACGCCACAGGGACGCTCCCTGTGCGTATGCCTGTGCCTATGTTCTCTGCAACAAGATCTTTAATTGTTGACTCCATTGTTTTTTTTTTTTTTTTTTTTCCCTCTCTCTCTTGCTTTTGAGCTTCAAAATAGAGTTTGAAAAAAAAAATTATTGGGTTTGGAATAACTAAGTGCTTTCTGAACAGAAATGATAGTATAAAATTAATACTGTAAAATGTAGAGCCTCCAGATAAGATCAAAATATTATCCTGTTTAGATAGATGGTTGTAAAATTAGTATAGTGCTCAATTATTTTTTAAATTGAATGATTCAATGGCCAAATTGGAAAAGGAGAGAATATTTTTCTTTGGGCTTTTATTGGTGTTTGTTTTGTTTGTATTATTAATTAATTCAAAATTTTCCATCAACAAACACGTGTAGTCAATCATCTAATGATTTGCTATTGAAAAATAGAGAGAGAAAAGATACAGCCAAGTTTGTTTCCTATTCAAGTCTTTGGAGGCACAAGCACATGCTTCCATGTACACCTACCTTGGTGTGTACTGATTTAGGGTTTGAAAAATGTAGCAATTAACCTCGTTCTTTGGGGAGAGATAAGAGAGAGAAAAAGATGGTTGTCTTATGAATAATATCCTACGAGGCTACGCCTTTGATTTTGGTATTAAAAGATGTGCTGGTCGGATACTTTTGTTTTGGAATCCATGACATCCACATCATAATTGTATTGACCGTTCGATATCACCGATAATTTTGTTGTCTCCAATCAAACCCCGCTAATGAACTGGACGCAAAAGAGCCAAAAAGAAGAAAGAAAAGCAGTGATGAGTCTACCCCACCCCCCCAAGGGGTTGGTTCAACATTTACTTGAAAGGTTAAGTTGAACTTCACAATTACTTCCCACTAATTAAACAGCTCATTCATAAAACCGAATGATTCAAGTGGAGAATTGGAAAATTAGCCACCTGTGATAATAATATAATTTAAGCATTGCTTAATTCATGGTCATAAAAAGGAAATCACTAGTGTTCTTTTCATAAGAAGCTGGAGATAGACACTCAAAGAAGCTGGTAAAGTTGCAATAAATAATGCTATAAGCTATAAATGGAAGGTTTGGCAAAATATTTAGTTCATTCAATCTATGATGAAGGTGAAACTGGCTCTGAGAAAATGAAGAATTGATGAGGACTTCCATTGATGATTCGAGAAGTTTGACTCACTTGACCCGAATATAATCTCACTATTCAGAATCAGAACCTGAAAGTTGTGGCATCTGATAAGCATTTGGAGGCTCAAAATCAGTGATGGAAGGAGGTATGTCACCTTCTGATGCGGTTCTTGAACGGTTTCTTCTTCTAGCTTTGCTTCCTTCCTGAAAACGTATACCGGAAAAAACATTAACAAATTAAGATGATGTACATATATACCATCATCTTAGTTACCATTCCAACATGCGATACATTAAAAAGGCTCTATCCAAACATTGTCGGTCAAGTTATAAAACACAGCCCATTTGAGCATTTAAAATTTTTGAGCCTCACTCACTTACCTTAGCAGATGGTTGACTTGGTTGAGTGGATTCATTTGGGAGGTCTGGTTGCCTAGCTGGTCGCGATGGGAGAGTGGGTTGAGACTTCCTCAGCCATATTGTGCCGAAGGACAATAACGAAGCAAGAAAAAAGACTGGACCAATTCTTGGGTCGTCTAGGCGGTCATAGATTGCAACTTTGATGTGTGCAATCCACTTCAACACATTGTCTATAAAACTACTCCCAGCACGTCCAAACCTCATAGGCTCCGGATCTTCAAGAACGAGTTCAGGAGACTTCACTCTCTGCCCATTTGAAAACACGAAGATAAACTTGAGCTAAATAGTCAAAACTAGTCCCCACGCCTCGTTCTTTTTCATTTTTCCATTTCTTTTTAATATGAAACGGGGATCTTATAAAAAAAAAAAGTGAATATACACTTCAGCCTATGTAAAAGGAGTTGAAAAAGCCCCTCTCCTGAAGCTACAAAATAAGAGCCTTCACAGGATCATAGACCAGGTGCCGTGGTCTCAAGTGCATTCTTCAACCTTAAGCATCTTTAGATATTCTTACAACATGAAGCAAATTGATCCATTCGAATAAATGTTCAATAAGCATTAAAATAAATTCCATCAAAGAAATGGAAAAATTAGTAGACTTGGGATTCTATCATACGAGCAAATAGGTTCAACTAAATAAAATTAATAAAAATCTGTAAAGTGGCTTACATAAAAGGGTAGATCCTTTGAATCGCCATCGTCGATTATTTTAGAGATCCACTGAACAATCTACAAAATATGATATAACAACGGTACTAGTAAGAAAAGTATACTGAATCATTTGCAAAGTTTTAATAAATTCAAAGGCAATAACAATATTATTAGAGAATGAAATCCCGTGTTCAAGTCCTAAGATGTTATTTATTAATAGCCCTTATCGTGAATTGAAATAATTTTTAAGTCCACGATGGAAGGAAAACAATAAAATTATCCTAATAACTATAAGCTTTTAACTCTACAATTAGTTAGCATTAGCACATACTATAATATAATCCTAAAGGAAGAAAAGGCATCATCACAAGCTTCTTAACGTATGTCAGTGATTAATGAGATCAATGAATTATCGGAAAAAAGAAAAAGACTAACCTCTGAAATCTCAGATGAACCATTGTAAAGGGCCACGAGCTGTGCGGCAAGATCCAGATCCTCGGACGATGTATCAAACAAACTTCTTGGCTTTATCTCCTTTGCTTTAGTTGCATCCCTTTTATACCGCACAATAAATAATCGAGGCACATCACTGAGATCTCTCCTTGGTCCACAAGTTTCATAGCTAGATTCAGAACTGATGTAAAAGAAACAATATTTCTAGAGAAAATGAAGGAATTTGTCAGTGAAAGATAATGAGAAGAAGAAAAGGAGGAGGGGGGGGGGGGGGGGGG